TGATGTGGTCCCACATGAATTTGGTGCATGCTGCTTCCGTGGTTGTAGTTAGAGCCTTTGCCTCTGCCCACTTCGTGTAGTAGTCTACCGCAACGATGGCAAACTTAAATCCTCCGGGTGCAAGATGTAATGGCCCGATCAGGTCAACCCCCCATTTGGCGAAGGGCCCTGGCCTGAGAATAGGAGTTAAATTTTCTGGGGGTGCTCTAGGAATTGTGGCATACCTTTGGCATTTATCGCAACGTCGGGCGTATTGAAAAGCGTCTTTTTTTAGCGTGGACCAGTAGTATTCTTGCCTCAAAACCTTTAGAGCCAGAGACTGTCCCCCAGTATGGTTACCACAGACTCCTTCATAGATTTCTCAGAGGACTTTCTGGGCTTCGGCATCACCCAGACACCGCTGTAGATGTGTTGAATAGCCTCGTCGGTAGAGCAAACCGTCGTACAATAAGTACCTAGCAGCTCTATACTTGATCCGTCTAGCTTCATTTTTATTATCTAGCAGTTGTGCGTCCATTAGGTATTGGATGAGCGGTTTCATCCAATTTTCACATGCTTGGACGACAAATGCCTTAGCTTGTTATTCAATGGTCGGCCGCTCCAATTCTTCGATGGGAACGACTCCCAGGGTGTCGGAATCTCTTGAAGATGCTAGTTTTGCTAGGGCATCGGCGTTCGCGTTTTCAGCCCGTGGTATCTGAAGTATTTCGTAGTTTTGAACTTAACAAGTTCTTCCTTTACCTTTCTCAAGTACGCTCCCATCTTCTCGCCGCGCGCTTGGTATTCTTCCTTTACTTGTGCGACGACCAATAGAGAATCGCTGAAGACGCTGAGCCTTTCGATCTTCAGGTGGATGGCTAACCGTAGTCTGGCATTTAGTGCTTCATATTCCGCCTCATTGTTCGATGCCTTGAATTTAAATCGAACCGCCGAGGTAATCTTGTGGCCTTCGGGGCTGATTAACAAGACGCCGGCTCCTGACCCGTTTTCATTTGACGCCCCATCCGCGTAGAGCTTCCATTTTGTAACCTCGACTTCTCCAGATGCGGCGGGAGCTGGTCTGTGAGAGAACTCAGCCAGAAAATCGGCGAGCGTTTGGCCCTTAATCGCAGTTCTTGGCACATATTTTATGTCGAACTGGCTTAATTCTACCGACCATTTGAGGAGTCGACCAGAAGTTTCGGGCTTTTGTACAGCCTGTCTCAGTGGGTGGTTTGTGAGAACTCGTATTGTGTGAGATTGGAAATAGTGCCGAAGCTTCCTTGAAGCTACCATCAGGGCGAGGGCTAGGCGCTCCATTTCGCTGTATCTCGACTCGGCGTCGAGGAGCCTTTTACTCACATAGTAGATCGGCAGTTGCACTCTCTCTTTTTCTCTTACTAATACGGAGGTTACGGCGTGTTGGGACACGGAGAAGTATAGGCTAAGCTCCTCGTCGACGTTTGGTTTTGACAAAATTGGGGGCTTGGCTAAATGCTCCTTCAATTTCTGGAAAGCCTCTTCACATTGTGGTGTCCACTCAAAGCGCTTGCTTCCTTTCAAAGCGTCGAAGAAGGGGACGCATTTGTCGGTTGCTTTTGATATCATCTTGTAGCAGTAGAGGCCCCTGCCGGTTATGAAGGATGTGTGCTCCTCGTCGGCTGGATGCATGGGGATCTGATTGTATCCGGAGTAGGCGTCCATAAAACTCAGCATCTCATGTCCCGCCGTGGCGTCGACCATTTGGTCTATTCGAGGGAGTGGAAAGCCATCCTTTGGGCAGACTTTGTTGAGATCGCTGAAGTCGGCGCACGTCCTCCAGTTCCCGTTAGGCTTGACCACTAGAACGGAGTTTGATACCCAGCGTGAGTAATGGGCCTCCCTGATGAACCCATTATTGATCAGCTTGTCAACCTCTTCTTTCAGCGCTTCATATCTCTTGGGGTTCATCGGTCGACGTTTCTAGCGCTTGGGCGGATATGTGGGGTCGACATTTAGGGAGTGACATATTACCTTGGCGTCGATCCCTTCCATGTCGGAATGATTCCAGGCGAAGACATCTAAGTTCTTCCTGAGGAAGTTTTCGATCTCAACCTTAAGTGATGGGGCTAAGCCCGAGCTCATTTTTAGCACTTTGGTGGACTCGTCTTCATCAACTTGGATTTCCACCAACTGCTCGACGGGTTGAGACCATGTGACTTCCTCTTGGATCCTGAGGTCTATGTCTTCGACGAGGCTCTAGTGAACCATCCTTGCCTCCTGTCTTCTTGGCTGGTCATATCCACGCAGAGCGTCAGAGTATGCAACCCTAGCTTCAAACTGGTTGCTCTTCATTTCGCCCACGCCATTTAGGGTAGGGAACTTGACTTTTTGGTGGTAAACGGAAGTTATGGCCCTTAGCGCCTGAAAGGTTGGTCTTCCAATCACGGCGTTGTATTGGGAGCTTCCTTTCATAACCACAAAGTTGGCCATTGTGGTAGCCTGTCGGGATTTTTCTCCGGTGGTTATAGGCAACCGGATGGTCCCCTGGGGGATGACGGAGTCCCCAGTGAAACCATATAGTGGCCTGGAGGTTTTTTTCCAATTGTTCCTTTTGGATCCTCATTTTCTCCAAGCAGTCGGAGTATAGGAGGTCCACCGAGCTCCCATTGTCCACCAGGATTCTACATAAGGTGTGGTTTCCTATCATGGCTTCCACCACCAAGGCGTCGTTGTGGGGAAAATGAACCCCACTAGCGTCATCCTCGTTAAAGGCCACGTCGGTGTGACTGTACCTTGGGATTTTTGCAGCAGAGACACTCCAGAATCGCTCCTGATAAACCCCCCTGGCCTTGTGGGCGTAGTCCTTCTGAGACCTCCTTGAGTCTCCTCCTATGTAAGGACCGCCGAGGACGCCGACGGGTTCGCGATCCTCTGGGTGCTGGTTCTACTCTCGGCGTCGACCGTCATTTTGCCCACCATGGCCGTCATTTCGAGGTCTCCATTCGGCCCTGAACTCTTGTAACCTTCCCTCGCGGATCACTCTTTCGATTTCATCCTTGAGGTCGGCGCAATCGTTGGTGTGGTGGCCGACATCGCCGTGGAACCGACATAATTTCTTCTGGTTCCTTCGGCTGGGATCTGACTTCATCGGTTCTGGTTGACGCAACAAGTTCCCGCGGCCGACCTGATTGAAGACCTCCTCAACTCCTACTGTTAGCTCGTAGTAGGAATCGTATTTTTGGAACAATCGAGGCTTACGGGTATCCTCTCGCCTCGGCTTCTTGGCTTCTGGAGCGCTCGTCGTTGCGGCGGGCTGCTTGTCTCTGTTTCCTCCACCTCGACGCTTCTTCCCATCCTGTTTCACAGGCGTGGACCCTTGTTCGGTTCCTTTATTCTTGTTGGACCTGTGCTCGGGGTCGTTTGCGTCCGCCTCTTCGATGTTGATGTACCCCTGCGCTCGCGCTAAAAACTCCCTGTAGCTGGACGGAGGTTTCTGGTTCAGCTCTTTTTTGAATGGGGTAATTTTCTTCATGCTAGATAAGGCCCCCATCAAGGTCTCTCTATCTGTTATATCCATCGTGACGGTGATAGCTTTCCCATATCTCGTGAGTCATTCCCTTAGTGACTCGTTCGGCTTTTGGTATATCGTCGTCAGATTTTGCTTTGGGGGGACGTACTTTTTGACCCCTATGAATTGGAGGGAAAACGCTTCCTTCAACTCGTCCCAGCTCGAGATAGAGTTTGGCCTCAACGTCCGGAACCATCTTCGGGAAGAATCCGTCAAATGGTTTCGAAAGGCTCGGCACATGATCTACTCGGCATAACCGTGCAAGAGCATGTGCCCTGTGTACATCTCTAAATGGTCGTCGGGATCTCCTCGCCCATCATACGGTGGGATTGACGGCGACCTGTATTTATCGGGGAGAGGGGGCGCCGTTATTTCTTGGGTAAATAGATGGTCATGTGTGCGACTGGGCGTGATATCGACGTTTACCACCTCAGCCACATGACCTATATTCTTTTTTAGGCCCGCCACGTCCCCTGTCAATTTTTGCTCCAGGCTGGCCATTCGTTCCATGATGGGGCGTGCTTCTTCTGTCGAAATGGCCGAGCCGGCTACTCTCGACGCTTCTGCCCTCTGAGCGTTGGGTCCGCCTCGGGCCTGGCCGCCTACCTGTACTAATCCTGAGTCTCCTGGCGGGTTTCCACCTGGATTCTGGGATAGTATCTCGGGGTTTCCTGGACCTCTCGGTACCCGGTCCTCGGGAGCTCAGAGTCCGGCGGCCCCCAAACGGCTGCCAGAGGATTGGGAAGGCCGAGGCCTATGAGGGCCCCGGTGATTCTCACTATCTCCGGCTCCCTCTTGGATATGTGGGTGGTCACCGGGGTTCGGGTTTCCGGCTACGGCAGATCCCTGCGGCCTTGGGGCGTCTTCTAATGGTGGCATGAAGTTCCTTCCATCTAAGCATTCAACCACGGTCATCAACCCACGTACCAGCTCAGTGAGAGTGGTCAGTTAGGCCTGCATCTGCGCAGGATCCGGCCGTGGCGTGCCCAGGGGCAGGGCTTCATCTCCGACCGGGTGTAGATCTCCTTCCATCCCGTCCGTCTATCTAGGAGGCGTGTTTGCTAACTATGTTGTTGGGGATCGAACGAGATCAAAACAGATAATATACTTTTTAAATAAACCGAACATACATAATATAAAAATATAAATAACTCAAAAATTTACGTCGCCTTCTCTGTGTTTCATCAAAATGTGTCATCCAAAGAGAAACTTTGAGAAAGAAGATCCTTCGAAATGTGTCGTCCAAGTACTTTGAGGCCGTTTATTTATTTTGGTTGCAGAATAATTTGTTTAAGATCGGCTGAAAGAGAAACTTTGAGAAAGAAGAAGATCATGACCATATTTTCGAAAAGGAGAAAAGTAACATTAGTCTTGATGAGCATAACTAAAGCATAATCTGTCTTTTTCACGAGCACAAACCGTTCCTCAATCTCAATCACACGTGTTCAAAAAAAAAAAAAAAAAAGTAAGAATGCATATAATGTAGAGGTTAGAGTTGGAGAGAACCACAACCATTGCCATAATAAAAGAGTTCAACAGTCATTTTCCATCCAAGATTCTTGCATTGTCTTTTAATCTTATGCATCATTGTTCCTTCTCACAAGAAAAGGTCTTTTCGGAACATGTCTAGAGCTTTTCTATTCCTTGACCATGAGAATGCGGTCATGAATTTATAGCTCAAAAACCGTAATTTTAAGATCATTCTAGGGCTTTACCTAATAGCTTTTCACTCGCTGAATCCAGCTTCGCTGCTGCTATCCTCATTTGCTTCCAAACTTCGAGACTTCCTCTCTTTCCAACGATGGTCATAACCATTCATATAAAGCATTTCTTGAGAAATTGATTCCTTTTCTTTAATCTTATTCAACAGTCTTTCATGGCCATCCATGGACACAAAATCCTTATCTTTAAGTAGTCTTATAATTTCCTCTGCTTGCTCAACGTCCCCTTTCCCTATCAAGTAGTCCAAACAAACAGCTACATTGTCTTTGCTCAGCTTCCACCAAGGTTCGGCAACCGAAATTTCTTCTTTGATTGACTCAACCGCCTTGTGAGTTTGCTTACGCACACAATAACCGGTTGTTAAATGACTCCATGTTTTCACATTAGGTTTCCCGCCCTCCACCTTGACCTGAGCGACCAAGGCTTCTGCCTTCTCAAGAAGACCCTTTCTGCAACAAGCACCAATTAAGAAGTTCGGTATACGAATGTCATACTTTGACTTGCTTTGCCTTGATCCCCACTCCTCAAAGATCTTCTCAGCACTTTCAATGTCACCCAACTTCAACAGTGAGGTTATGATGCTTATATATCCTCCGTTATAAACTTGTTGTTTCATCTTGTAAAGTTCCCATAGTCTTAATACTTCTTGTTTCTTTCCTATAGCTGCATATTGCGTGAGAAGGCACTCAAATGCTGTACTCCATTTCTTTGCACTTGATAATAGTGCCTCCGATTTTTTCAACGCTGCCAAAGCTTCATCTGCAAGGCCAGCTTTTGTAAAGCCATTCGCAGCAACAGAATACACAAGCCAATCCAAAACAATTTCCGGATCAGATTCCATCCTTGCTAGAACCTTGTTGATTCCCTCCACATCAGACTCTGCTGCATATGCACTGAGCCGGATGCCATATGTAAATTTGTTCAAACGAATGCCCTTCTCATCCATTTCTCGCATAAGGAAATCCATCTTTTCATGATTCCAACTCTGATAATACAAATTAAGCAATGCATTATAAGCCGACGGGGTCCTAGACAACCCCATATCCTTCATCTGCTGCATGACGGCCTCCGCTTTCTCCACCTGTTTATTATACCCATAGCAGTTGAGGAGAGCGATATAAACCTCAGCAACTCTGAAGCCACTAGGAATGTTGTTGAAATAATTCTCGGCTTGTTCCGTACCGAGAACTTTTGCGATCAGGTCAAGCCGATTGGCAAAGTCAAGGCGTGTAAGTGGATAGAATCTCTTGTCAGTCATCCACATTGATATCTAGAACACCCAAATAAAGAAGACCAGAATCAGATTCCCATATAAATTCATTCAAATAAAGAAACTGCAAACAAAAAAATCTAATCTGTGTTTGTAACCCAAACAGTCAGGAGCTGAAAGGAAATGCCATACTTCATTTGAGTCCACAACATGTGATCATACAAAATTCAATCATATGCTAAGAAGATAAAGACATTCAACATGAGTGGGTTAATAAAACCATTTATCATCTTTATAACATGCTAAAACCATTCATCATCTTTATAACAGGCTAAGACACAAGACATAATTCGACCAAGCAAAAAAAAAATGCTAAGACATAATATAGATACTAAACTGTGGTTGCAACTTGCTTAATTTCGTACACAATTCTAATATTGAAGTTCAGAACAACAACAACAACAACAACACTAATAATTAAATCCTAATCCTATAACAATAACATGTATAATCAGGAAGATGCAGATTAGGCGCAACAAGAAAGTGTCCAAAACAGTTTTCAAGTAATCAACAACAACGTGATTTGTAAGAGCTTTCTTCCCAGCCCGTTCAATAACAATAAAAATTTCATGAAAAATACCATTAAAACGCATTACATGGAATGAAAGAAAAAATTTATACAATCAAACTTACAAAAGGGAATCCGAAATCCGATTATCGAGAATCACTACAAATATAAAGCTTTGATTATACTTCAAAAGAAAGCTGTTTTACTATAATGAGCTCACCAAGTGCTATAATGAGCTCACCAAGTGCGCCATAAGAGCACAAATGAAACGTTTCAAACTTAATCAGAAAATCTAGCGAGGAAAACATGTCAATAAAAAAAAAAATCAACTTTCTTCCCCACATTTTCAGAGCAAACAAACGCGCAAAAAGCGAGAAAAGAGAGTAGTAGCTACCTCGAGAGCTTGCTTGTAGCGCTTGTAATGCCGGAGCTCGTTGATGATGGTAACTAGGTCAGATTTGTTAACCGTTTCACCTTCTCCGATCCACTGGTCGAGAATCGGAACGATCGAGATCGAAGGAAGCTCCGGCGAAATCCTTCGGAAGAGTCTCCTTATACTGGCGTCCCGAAACTTCCCTTGAGGTCGTGGTGCGGCTGTAGAGTACAAAGAAACGCCAGAAACGTTTCGAGCACCGAAACGGGCATACATTTTCCATGCGGCGCTGAAATGGTGTGAGAGCTTCTTCATGTTGACGACGCGAACCAGTGACCAGTGAGAGCTTCTTAATTAAAGACCAAAGCTACTTGAAAACGACGCCGTTTCTTTCTCTCTCTCTTTCTTAATCTGTTAGTTTTTTTGTGCGTGTTTGTTTCCGCTTTCAAAAACTTTTTTACGTTTTTCGAGAACTAAAAAATGAAAATGGGTTGAGAACATATTTGGCGCATTATCCTATAAAAACTAAAAATGAAAACGTTTTCTGACCCTTTCCAAAAAATGCAGAAATTATGAAAACGAGTGAGGTTCGTTTTCATTTTCTTCGATGTCAATCTCTTCTTCCTCGGTTAGTTTTTCCATTTTCATTTTAACTTTCTTTCCTCGACACCCCCGTGGAGCTGTCGATGAGACGGATGTGGTGGAGAGGAAGGATGGGTCATCGGTGGCAGCGACAGATGAGCGGAGGAATGTGAGGGTGAAGTGGGTGAGGGAGAGGTCTCCATCGGGCAGCGGACAAGGATTAGAGCGACGACCAGGTTTCTTCCATGAAGGAGGCCTTCACGCTCTTCGACACTGACGGCGACGACCGGATCGCGCCGGAGCGCCAAGCACATGAAGCTGGAGCCGTTCGATCACCAGCTCCATGACGCCTTCAAGGTCCTTGACAAGGACGCCACGGGATTCGTCTCCCTCGCCGAACTCCGCCACATCCTCACCAGCATCGGTGAGAAGCTCGAGCCGGCCGAGTTCGGCGAGTGGATCCGCGAGGTCGACGTCGGCTCCGACAGAAAGATCCGCTACGAGGATTTCATCGCCCCTACTCTTCTGTGACTGCGGACCCCACCC